ATCTTCTCAGGCAAAGAAGACTTCGATAGGGTAATCTAGTTTCGCTTTATCTGTTTGTGCTAGAAATGGAGTCTCTTACTAGGAAATTGAAGGAGCTAAATATGCAAGAGAAGTTTAAATATCATAGTAAGTGCCAAACTATGAAACTTACCCACTTGATCTTTGCATATGACATTATGTTTTTTTGTAAGGCTGATGAGGAGAGTTTGAGGATTTTTCCTAGGTCTCTAGCTTGGAAGTGAAAAGAATGAAGAGTCAGATTTTCTTTAGCAGAGTTAGTGAAGGGTAAAAAGTTGCTTTAATTCAGAAGTTGGGTTTTGTTGAGGGACAACTTCCGATTAGATATTTGGGGTTGCCTTTGGTGCTCAAAAAGCTTTCTTCTGGGGCATGTCAACCTGTTCTTGATAGGATTCATCAAAAAATTGGCTCTTGGGCAATGAAATTTCTATCATATGTAGGTAGAGTGCAATTAGTTAACTCTATATTATTTCACATTCAAGCTTTTTGGAGTGGTGCTTTATTGATTCCTAAGAAAGTGTTAAAGTTAATTGATGCTTCTTGTAGAAACTTTATTTGGTGTGGTAAATGGGATTATAATGCTATGTCCCTTGTAGCATGTGATGATGTATGTGTGCCAAAGAAAGAAGGGGGACTAGGGGTGAAGCAATTCCTACACTAGAACAAGGCAACATTAGGAAAATTGGTCTGGAATATATGCCAACAGCAAGGGTTGCTATGGGTTAGGTGGGCACAGGTAGTACTTTTGAGAGGGGAAAATTTTTGGAAGGCCCAAATCCTTACGAATTGTGCTTAGACTTGGAGGCAGGTGTTAAAGCTTCGTCCTTTGTTGAAAAATGCCATTTGGATACAAGTGGGAGATGGACGACAGGTTTCTTAATTCTATGATTTGTGGGCGAGTGGGTTAAGGATCTATGAGTTACTCTCTAAGGATGAAATTGCTATTTGGGGTCATGGCCTTATAGTCAGTCAATGGTGGAATGGATTGGATTGGATTATTCTGAAGAGTTTTGTGAGAAGGCATCCCATGCTTGTCCATATTATTGGGTGTCAAAAACTGTCTCAATAAGCTGACAAAGCTGTGTGAAAACCTACAAAGAATGGTTTGTTTGGTATCTCGAGTTGTTATAAGTTTTTAAGAGTGAAACGCCCTAGGGTGGAATGGCATAATATGGTCTGGGCAGGATGCATTTTCTTGCAACATAGCTTCATTTTTTGGCTGGTGTAGCGGGGTAAGCTAGACACTAAAGTTTTGCTAACAAATAGAAGTATGAGAATTGAGAAAGAGTGCTATTTGTGCTATAGATATGAAGCAACTTGTGAGCACTTGTTCTTTGATTGTAGTTTCGCTAAAGAAGTGTGGAGGTTAGTTTTGGACTTTTGGAATATCCAGAGGCAACCAAAAAGATGGAGTGTTGAATGGTTTTGACTAAGGAAGGCATGTAAAGGTCATTTAGTTCAGCCACAAAAGTTGAAGACTACCTTAGTTGCCACTTTATACATGATTTGGCAGGAAAGGAATAGGAGAATATTTCTTAGAAAGTTTTTGACTGGAAAGGATGTATATAATGAGATAATTGGTTTTTTGAGATTAAAATTTTGAGAAGTGTATTTCCCTAGGTATGCTTGGGAGTAGAAGTGTAGATGTCATTTAATGTTAACTCGACTTGCCTTTTTCCAAAAAAAAAAAAATTATTGAATGATAACATAATTTTTGTAATAATAGCACACTTAAAAAACCAGCCATCCTAATCTCTTTGAATTTCTGGAACATCATGTAGGAGCTTAGGTAATTAATCAAAATAAAGCTAAAGCATTTTTAATTTTATTTTTTTTATCTTGATGGTATAATAAGAGATAATTTTTCCTCATTCATGATCCCACTCTAGCTGCATGAGTTGTGCCTACATGTCATATTATTAAAATTTAGATTATTTTACTTTCAAAATAAAATTATTTTTAAATTATTTAAGTTATTAATAAAGTATTCTTAATTAAAC